GGGTGCAGACATGGCACCACGTGGCAAGCCATGCTGTGGTAGGCATCCCACATATAAAGTAGAGGAAGATGGGCATGAATGTTAGCTCAGGGCCAGTCTTCCTCAGGAAAAAAAGAGGATGATTGGTGTATGTTAGCTCAGGGCTAATCTTTCTCAGGAAAAAAAAAAAATGCAAACAAGAAGCAGAAATTATAGCCAGGAAGGTTAATTTGCGGATCCTAAGGGCCTGAAAAGTGAGGAAGACCCTCCCAAAAATTAGGTAACTGAACAGACACCAGGGAAAGGAGAAAGATAGAAAGTTCCAAGAGGAGGGCAAGAGAGGGACCCAAGAGAAAATTTCTCAGTGAGACAGAGTAGTTTTGGAGACTTTATGGGGCATATCTATGGCCTTGAAGGGGCAGGGAAGCCGTCTCTGAGACCTTAAAACTGTTTGGAAGCAAATGCTAGGGTTTGGGATTGGTAGCAAGTAGCCTTGTATCACTGGAGTGGAGGATGCTTGGGGCAGGGAGTGGTCAGTGATGCAGCAGCTAGAGAGGACAGAGGATGTGGCAGGCTGAATAATGGCTCCCAGGTCCTAATCTTCAGAACCTGTGAATGCTACCTGTGAACGGCAAAAGGGATTTTGCAGATATGCTTAAATTAAGACTCTTGAGATGGGGAGACTATCCTGGAGGGTCTGGGTAAGCCCAATGTAATCAAAAGGATCTTTCTAAGAGGAGGGAGGAAGAGTCAGAGAGAAGGCCGTGTGACTCAGAGATAGTAGTGATGCATTTTGAAGATGGAGGACGGGGCCACAAGCCAAGGAGTACAGGCTGGCCCTAGAAGCTGGAAAAGGCAAGGCAAGTGCTTCTCCTCTAGAGCCTCCGGGAGGAACCACCTCTGCTGATACCTTGAATTTAGCCCACTGAAACTGATTTTGGATTTCTGGCCCCCAGGACTGTCAGGGAATGAACTTACGTTGTTGTGAGCCACCAAGTTTGTGGTAATATTTTATAGCAGCCATAGGAAACTAACACAGGGAATGAAGTCATGTTTATGCTGAGAAGGCAGTAGGGAGTTAGTGAAGGGCTTCAAGCTGGAGTCACGTTATTAAGTGACATTTAAAAACGATAATAGATGGTGAAACATAGAAGGGACTAGAGTGGCAGAAAACTGAAGAAAAGGAGACACATGAGGATGCTATTTCAATACTTCTTATGAGAGCTGATACTGTCAGCTCATACAGTTTTGAGAAATGGACAGAAGACACCTGTTGAAGAAATAGTTAGGTGGTAAAAAGAACAGAACTTTGCAAGCGGTTGAATGCAGAGGTGGAACAAGCATTAAGAAAGACTCTTCACTTTATATTTTGACACATAATGTAGTTCACGAATCTATTAGTGGCTACAGAGAAGAGAGATGTTAATCACTGAGGTGCCTGTAGGATATCCAGGTAAAAGTGCTACACACTCAAGGGCAAATGAGGTTTTGAATCTCAGGAAAAAAGAAGGATTAGAGATGTGGGTTGAGGTAGATACAGAAGAGAATCATCCAGCAACAGTGAAGAAGAGAGGAGCCTTAAGGATGAAATCCTGAAAAATGACCAAAATATAAATGATTTCTTTAGAGGAGTAGGGGCAAAGAAGAATGAGAAATAAAGGTCAAAGATTTATGAAGACAATCTGGCCAGAATAGCGTCAGGGACACCAAGGGATGCGAGAAGTTTCAGGAAGGCAGACCTGGTCAGAAGGGACAAATTCTTCAGCTGAGATAGATAAATAGTCATAGAAGAGAAAAGTGAGCCTCTGATTAGGAAGCTCTGTTTCTTTCTCCAGAGCTGTTTCTGTGGAGTGAAGTGGTTGAAAGCAATCATTTAAAGAGTGAAAGGAAGTAAAGGAAGTAGAGAGAAGATGAACAAACTACTCGTTCAAGAAGTTTGACGGTGATACGTTGAAAAGAAACAGTGGTAAAAGAGTGACACGTTTATAAAAACATTATTTGGGGGGAGATGTAGGGTTGGGGAAGGGATAACTCAGGGACTGAAGAGGTTGGAAAGATTAAAAAGGAAGAGTACTGAATGAGTGAGGTGTGGAGGAAGCAGGGGGGGAGAGGAGCAGGTATACAGGGGGAGAGGTTAGCCTGAAGAGGAGGAACGGGTTACATTTTCTGAGGCGTGAGGGCAGAGGAGGATCAGAGAAGATATGAGTAAGTTTAGAAGTGCAGGGAGGGGAGGCTGGGAAATTCCAATTCTGATAGTCTTTATTTGCTCTGAAAAAAAACTAAGATAGGCTAATCTTAGACAATAGGAAATGGAAGTATATTTCTCACAGGCTCCAGTGAGACAGGTGTTCCTAAATATTCGTATGGCCAAACCACAGAGTAGTAGTGTGACAATTAAGTGCCTGTTGAGGGGAAGGCTGCCTTCTGAAGATGTGGCCGAAAATCCGAGTTTTCATCAGTCAGGCATAACGAAAGCATGTTACATGTTTGTAATAAAACCCACAGGGGAAATCATCACAGCAGAAGGCCTTTCACCACTGTTCCTACGGCCACCACCACCGCTACCACCACTGTGGCTAACGACAATGGCAGCCACAACAACAGTAAACAACTGCTGAAGGCTTTCCGTGTGCTGGCTTCGTGTTAGACTCTGGGAGTTTAAATTTGGATAAGGTATGAAATCTACCTTTGAGATGTTTCATCGGGATTTGCAGAGGGAAGAGGAAAATCTTTACTCAAATGCCTGAGCTGAGAAAGCTTCTCACATAAAAGGGACTCATAGGGTCCATAAACCATCAGAGCTGGAAGGGACCACAGAGGGCATAACAGGTGAGGACCCGATAGTTAATGCACTAAACAAAAGTCACCTGGCTGATTCTAGCATCCCCACCCTAAGTCCTGTGCTCTTTCCATTCCATTTCATTTCACCCCTGAGCAGCCTCTTTTCCATTCAATGCATAAGCAATTTTAGGTATCGGATCATAGGTACAAAAGTAAAGAACAGAGAAACTCTTTTCACCATAGGAAGGTTTTTAAAGTTAGAACAGGCAAGAACATATAATCAAAGGACTTAAGTCAAAAAGGTGTCACTTTTATGTCATGGTAGGTATAGTCCTCCCAGAACACTTGTCACCACTACTGTATAAATCCCATTTTGGACCAATCCTCTCAGAGTGCAGAAGAGTGGAAAAAAATCTTCCTTTGTCTTATGCCCTTATAATTAATCAGCAGAATGCCTCCATGCAGGCTTTTGGAATAAAAGGAAATTAGTAGCTAAGGAGGAGAAAAATATTTAAGAGTAAGAATTGGACTAAATAATAAGAAAGATAAACCCTATGATGTAGAGGTGAGACTCAGGAGTGGGGGATGGTATCCATGGACAACTGAGGGAGATCAAAATAGACATACCAAAATGTGTGAATATCTTTTAAGCTCAATAACAAGAAATGGGTTGTGTACATCATATTTATAAGATCTAAAGTCAACAGTCAGACTATGACAATACTAGCTCCTGAGTGACAAGAATGGCTTGAGATCAAGAGGGATAGGGCACAGGGCCAAGGCCATGGACAAATTTCCCTCCTGGGCTCAGTGTTTAATCTTCAGGAGACTGCAGTGCTCAGGAAAGAAGCAATGGGTAGAACCAGGAGTTCCGGGGAAGGTCAGACTCTCCTCTCCCAGCAGTCCCAGGGCCTGGCAATCCTTGAACCAGTGGCCAACAGAAAGAGAGGAGGATTTAGCCGTTTGGTTCAGTCACCAGGCTCTGGCATGGAAACATAAGAAAGCTTTGCCAGCTGGGACTGCTCTTATCTACATTTGCTTACATTACAGTCCTTTCTTGGCAAATTGGAATCAGAACAATTTTAAGATGCTGGAGTTTGAAGAGATACCAGAAACCTGTGGGTATGTCTTTGAGTTTAGAGGAATCAGGGCTTGGGGGCAAATCCTGTAGCAACTGCAGCCCAGACACAAGCTTCTTGCTTCTTCTGGAAGAAAATGCCCAGCCAGAAGAGAGGCTCTCATGCCTCTGCTACCTCTTGAGCAAGACAAAGCAGGAATTTGTGCAGAGCTCAAAGAACCAAAAGCCTCTCAGACAGGAGGGCACATTGTTCCCCAATGCAGCACTACTGACAGGAGAGGGTCCCTAGACTCCGAGGGACTCTTGGTCATTAAATCTTGGGATGACCTACTTCTCGAGTTTTCATTGTGCTAATTTCATCACTTGCCCTTTAGCAACTCACACATCCATGACTTAGTCTCATCAGAATGCTGGCCGTGAGCATAAGCTCAGGAGAAGAAATTCCATGAATGGCAATTCTAAACCAGTCTTGGTTGATCAGAATACAAATTTCCCACCCAGTACTCATCCTATATCAGAAGGTAAATTCAGAAAGTTTGAAAAATTCAAATGTCTTATACTTACTTGGATTGAATACTAACTTGTCATCAAACAGTGGACAAGGATTTATTTGTGAGGCTGTTATCCAGAGCTGTATAAACACTTGGGCCAATGGAGATTTCCTCATAACATAAATCAGGAGGAAAAATGGGCGTAAAGTCAGGGCAGGATGGAGTGAGACGGGGTTTACTATGTAGTTATTGTATGGGGTTGCCAGTCAGCATAGGCTGGGGGTGCTGGGGGCAGGAAGTAGTGGTGAGACTGTGACACTCTCTCCTCATTCTCCCCTATGCCATGAGAACAGTCTAATATTTTCCCTTGCTATCATAGCAGAATGTATGGTGACCGGTAAAAACCTCTGGAGGACCCTCTCTATGATAACTAACACAATGACCATACAGTTTAGACCCCATCCTGCATCTAAAGTTTCCCCAAATACTCTAATTTTGAGATTTGGTTTAGCAAGCAAATCTTGCCAATTTTAAGGATGGGCACAGAGCATTGAGGCAACAACTGAATTAGTTCTTTGCCTACAAACTCCTTAAGTTTGGTCCTATGGATTGTACCTATGCAGCCAGTACTTGCATGGGGTGTAGAATTTGCTGATGAGCATGTCACTCACCTTTGCTGATGTCTTCATATTCCAGCCACAGTCGCCGCTGGACCTGTTTGTTTGGGTACCAGATGGAGCAGGACTCCTCAAAGCCGTAGATAGCTTCCTGGATGTAATGGTTGCCAAACTGGTCCAACAAGGCCACAAAATCCCCACGCGATGTAGCCCCATCCAGGGAGTGGAGAGCATTGCTGAGGGCTATGGAGAAACATCACCCAAGAGCAAGAATGAGGACTCACAATGTGGGTACCTGGATTCCGAGGCCACTCAGCCTCAAATGTGGGAGTGCCTATGTGTCCCAAAGTGATGCTGGAAAGCTGGCTGCAACAGTCAGGTGAATATTTCCATTTAGCTAAATCCCACGTTTCGGTTCCTAAGTGAAAATCTCTTCAAGCCAGTTGGTTATGTTGTTAACTGCGTCCAAGTTACACAGTACACTGCCAAGTATCCACCACGCCCTCTGCTTAAGTAAATATTTTTTTTTCCCAAGTCACAAGTCATGACATTAAGTCAATTTGTGAGCTCAAATATAGCATTTGAAAAAAAAAATGAAAAAGAATAGCATAGTCTGAAATAGAAACACAAATACCGGCAGAGAACATTTGACATCGTACGATGAAGTTATCACTTCATAAAACTTCTGTCGTGTGTATATGGGAGTACTGTATGTACAAGGTCATGGTGTAAAATGTATCCTAACCAAAAACGTTTGTAGAATATTGCCTACAAACATAGAAATTGATAATGAGAAGATAATGAAAGAAGAAAGGCAAGAAGTCACTAATACACTGCTTATATTTATTTCAGAAAATCCAAAGTATAAGGATTGGGAAATGGCGAATGGAGGAAAGGATCTATTTGCCTCCTCGCTCTCCTCTCCAGCCAAAGCTCTTTGGATTTGCTTTCCCTGTTTAAGAAAATTCTACTTGTTGGAAGGATAGCCCATGGCAAATTTTCCAAATTCAATACCTGGTGAACCAGGCCAGCTGTATATGGCCTTCCTTTCTACACACCTGTGTCCTGTCAGGACCAGGCAGAGCCTGGCCCACACATGAGACCCCAAGCGCAGAAGTCTACACGACCCGTGATACCACGTGTGGCTTTGAAAGGCATGAGGCAACAGAGATAGCCCATTGCTAACCCCTGATAGGCACAGCACCTGTGCAAAATGAGCTTGCGAACAGGTTCGAGTCTGTACTGCCATGTTTTTCTAAAACGCAGAGCAGCCTAGTTCTTTCCAGGTGTTTTCTGCACCAGGAGAGTTTCCTTCAGTAAGATCCCCATCTCAATCCCTTCTTGCCCAGCATAACTTCATGTCAAAAAAAAAGTTCTGAGGCCCTTTGTGTCTATGGAAACGTTCTACATCCTCGATGCATTTTCCTTCTCTGTGCATGAAGCTTTATCTTTTGTGAGTATATATGTCTCACTTCTCTTTATAATTCTCTATCTGTCCCCTACCCTTTATCTCTCTCCTGTTGGCCCTAAGGCTCTGCCTGCTTATTGCTGACCCTAAGAGCTCTCTCCTTGTCTGTCATCCTGTGCCAACATATCCTCTGGCTCTAGTTACCCTCCATCTAACACAGAGAAGCCGGACTTTGACATACACTTCACATCTGGTACATTCTTTAGGTAGCTTCAGAGGATGGAGTTGAGTGTGTTCTCCTAGTCCAAAGGGATGAGGTGGAATAGAGATGTGTACCTATATTAAGGCCCTATTTGTCAAAATTTTCCCATTTGCAAACTGCACATTAGAATTGCCCAAGTGCTAGGAAAATCTTGACTCAAGGCATTTACCACTAAAATTTAAAGAATATTTGTACAAGGGGTCTCTCTGTCCCGCTTTAGAACAATTTGTCCGAAGCTTTAGAATTCACCGCTCCTAACTTGCTAGCTGTAGACACAGAAAAATCCCCTCCTCACTCTGTCTCTATTTTGCTTACTTGCTGTTTAGGGTCATAAGCTGTTTTCTACTTCTCCTCCTCCCCTTCCTCTTTCTTGATCTCTTTCCCTGATTTCTTTCATTGTACAGAAATTCTAAGTTATGCTCTTTGCATTTGGAAAGTTTTGTTCTGTTAATTTATTCAAAAAATCTGCTTTTGCGCATCCTCTCTACCCATGGGGTGACCCCAGGAAAAATTACAAAATAGGTGTTTATCTTCAGCAGTTCCCAGCTTGCCCTTTCCATCTCTTCTACAGTCCAAGATAAAACTTGCAATTTAATCTCTACTTAGAAAAGGATCTGATTCCAGGTATTTGCCCTTAAGTGTGACTCTGGGTGAAAAGGTTACGTATCTCATGGAGTGGCTACGTTTTAGACTGCATCTTCAACAATGGGATAAAAGGCTTGTGCCCTTGGAAAGGAATTCCAAGCCCCTGGAGCAGGGGTGAGGGACGGCTTGCTGCTGTGCTCACCCTGCGAGACGGTCACTTGGTTGAGTTTGCTGTGGTACATCACAGACCGGACCTTCCAGTGCTGCAGCACGGGGTATCCAGACACCTCACTGAAGTTCACCATCCCTAGGGACAGAGGAGAGGGGGCTCAGTGTGCACGACTGATTCACAACTCCGAAGTCTACCAGGTGAAGGGTGTAATGGCGAGAAAATGAGACAGCATTCTTTGATGGAGAGAATTTCTGGAATCATAAAACAACTGCTGTCATTTATTGAACCCTTACTCTGTGCAAGACATTTTGCTAAGCACTTTGCATAAAGAAAGCCATTTGATTCTTGTGAGATAGGTGTTGCTATTTGCATTTTATAAATGGGGAAACTGAGGCTCAGAGAGGATGTTTGCATAAGGGCCTTAGGCCACCAGGTATAGCCAGGATGCAGTTCAGATGTGTCTGAGGCAGGGCTGGGGTTCTTAACCATTCTACCATAATATTCCCTAAATAAATTCATATAAAGCTCTCGGCTTCCTGTAGCACACCAGTTTTACTCTCTTTAATAGTTGCAGTAATTGACTCAGCTCACATACCTGATAACATTGATTTTTCTGTCCCATTTAACTGATTTGTGTTCAGCATTTAAGTTTTAATTACTCTGAAGCTGATAGTGCTATTTCTTCTTTACCAGGAGGGACAGTGTCAGCGTGATTAGGTCATTAAGGGACAGGGATGGCCCTGAATTGAGTCCCATGCCCATGCCAGACACCATGATAGACACTTTATTTGTGGTCCCCCTTTTATCGAGGGGAGAACTGAGGCTCTGAGTTGCTTGTCCAAGCTCCCTCTCAATAAACGCACCCTTGTAGCCTCTTAGAGAGGCTACAATGGGCTGTTCTTGCTTGAGCACCTCGGAGAAAGAGAGGCACTTTGTTGAAATTCTAGCCATTACTATAAATATAAAATGCTACAGACACAAAATAATTAGGCCACAGGAAATAAGAAAAAAACACCTTGCTAAGTCTAGAAAACCAATTTTAGCTTCATTTGTAAGCCTAAAGTTTGCTATATGTGTCCATTATAGGAATAAATATATATGCAAACATATGCACATATGCATATGTGTGTCTATATATATGCAAATGTAATGGCAATATATATAGTCAATTTAGACAGATATGTACATAGGTAGATAGATATTGTGTATGTATACATATACGGTCAGTAATACATACATAGTGAATTGTCTTGCCATTTGACCCGTGCTCCCTTCAGGCTAAATCAACTTATTTATTACCTAAACTGGATGAGGAGTGGGCAGGATTAATTAGCTGCTTGTCAACTCTGATCAAATTAGCAGAGTAATTGCCAAATTTCCATTGCTGTGTGAATCACATGGGAATAATTATTGGTAAGGCAAAAAGAAAAAAGGTCAGGAGAGATGCTTCATGAATCAATTGCTTAAATTTTGTCTCAGACAATCAAAGGTAAGTTAAACGAAGAGAAGGTGTTTAGCGCTTTTTCTTTTTCAAATGTTCTTCTTTGAGGGTTAACACTAAGCTTTGTGATGACAGTCATACCACTACCTACTCTGGCTTTTAGCCTTGATGTTAATTGTAAAAGCATACAAATGAAATTCTAACTTTGCAAGTTTAAGTCTCCAGTCACACACCTCAAAGGCACGTTTCATTAGAGCCTCAAATGTGCGTGCTCTGTAGAACGTTCTAGCTGACATGCGTTCTCTACTGACGTCAGCTCTTCAGCTTGCTGTTTCAAAAAGTCTATTAATAAAAAAACAGCAAGCTCAATAGACAAAGATTTTGCAATATACTAGAAAACGTTCGCTTTAATTGAATTGTTTCCCAGTGGAAAGAGAAACGAGCAGGAAATCAGGCGGCTGGAGTTCGAAGGCTGGCCAGGTTACCTCAGGGGATGCTTTCTGACCGCCATCGCTGGCTGGAGCTTCCTCTCTGGCTATCTGGCTAGGGGACCTTTTGGATCTCAGTTGTTTCACCTGTAAAGTGAGAGGCTTAGCTGAGATGACCTCTTGCTTCTTTTTCAATTCTATTATTCCAACCAGCTGTGTGCCTTTGGGCTAGGGGACCCACTTCCTTCAGTTTTCATATCTGAAAATTGGGGACAGGTGTATCCCTCTTGCTTACTTTACAGGTAGGTTGTCAGAGCAAAATAAAGTTATGGATGTAAAAGTACGTCGAGAAAAGATAAAGTGCCGTAGACATACATATGGCTTCCATACTGTTGTCATCCTCCTCTTCCTCCTTACCTCTCCCTTATCACCCCTAATTGTGCGAACCTGACATTTCTTAATTGATGCTTGTGTTATAAATTCCTAGGCTTTAGTTCAGAACAGAGGAAAGAAAAAATGAGGGAAGTTCAGATGGGATGTCGGGGCGTGGGAAGGGGTGCCAGTGGCCCAAATTCACCCAGGATGAGCTGAACACGTGAACTGCCTTACTTAACTGCTGAACAGCAATTCCACCGGGCACTGATGCTACACCAGTCAGGAGAACAGTAACATAACTGTCAGCACTCGAGAAATGTTGTTCTGGGCCCACTTACAGATAATTTTCCCATTAGTTGAAAAGAAAGGCATACTTTGATTCTTTCTCAGTGTGTCCTTGACATGCAGTCAGCTCTAGTTTTTTATTTTATTTTATTATTATTTGGGATACATTTCTGAATGACTCTTTTCTCAAACAAAATATTTCTAGATTTCCCCAAGAAAGAAAATTATTTTTTCCCTACCTACACTTGAAAAAAGAGTGACCAAAAAAGACCTACATGAAAGAAAGAAAGAAAGAAAGAGGGAAGGAAAGAAGGAAGGAAGTTAGTTTTCTCGTGTAATTTATTTGCAATACCAAGGGGACGTATTATCTCCAAAAGTTCTAAATCCAAGAGTCCATTTCCTTTGGATGACCTTCAAGAAGTTCCAAAGAGTTCAGAAGCTCTAAATCTTCACGCAGATTTAGCAATTGTGTCCCCAATAGGCCCATGAATGTGGCCAGCAGTCTCCTCTCCCTCCTTTGTCTGCCTCTAGAGTCTCTTCTTTTTCTCAACTAAGAGACTAAAAATATAAATGGACAATGGACAGACCACATCTAAAAATAGAACTCTGACCCACAATCTGCAGCAACCAGCCCAGGAAACCAAACTGTTATCTACAGTGACTAGCCAAAGAAGCTAGCCTACCATATGTAAGTCAGACTTGTAGGAAGTCAGACTACTGTCTCTAGCAACCAGTCCAGAAAGTCAAACAATCACCCAAAACAACTGGATAATTTTGGGGCCAAAATGACCAGGATTTGATTAATGACTGATTGCTTCCTTAATTTTTTTTTTTTTGAGGAAGCTTAGCCCTGAGCTAACAACTGCCTCCAATCCTCCTCTTTTTGCTGAGGAAGACTGGCCCTGAGCTAACATCCATGCCCATCTTCCTCTACTCTATATGTGGGACGCCTGCCACAGCATAGCCTGACAAGCAGTGTGTAGGTCCACACCCAGGATCCGAACCGGCGAACGCCAGGCTGCTGAAGTGGAACGTACAAACTTAATTGCTGTGCCACTAGGCCAGCCCCAGCTTCCGTAATTTTTATTCTTGCTTTCAACTTAGGTCTAACCAGAGAAAGTTAAATATATCCCCTAATCACCTACCTAGAACACCTCACTCCTGGTTAGTCCGCCCACCTACATGCCAACAGCCCCCAGTCAGGGCGTGTCTGAAGCCCTCCCTTCTCTCCTCTCTAAAGCATTCCCGCTCCTCTGCCTGCCTTTCAGCCTCTGCCAAACTAAAGTGATGGTGGCTGACTCCCTTGCTATAGCGAGCTGTGAATAAATAGCCTTCGTCTCTTTTCATTTGGTTGGTCTTCATTTATTTCCACACAACTTATAACACCAAAAGGGCTGGTGAAGCTCAGAGTTCTTAACTGTTATTTTGATGAAGAGGGAAGCAATCAGCAAGAAGAAACACATAAATCAGTATTTTTCCAGTACATTCTTCAAACCAATAATTCTGAAAAATGAAAATAGTTGTTACATGTCAGAGGATTCTCTAGTTAAATAAAGGTTTGAGAATTGCTGGATTAAATAAAGGAAAAGTGATTTCCTTCCTGTGGGCTTTTGGGAAGCCGTTCTACACTAAGGTGTGGCAAATTGCTGAGAGGCGATTCTACAGTCTTTCCAAACGTATTTGAAGTCAGAACCTAGTTATGAGTGGAGCACTGGTTTTTCATGAAAAAAAAAAAAAATACATGGAAGCGCAGATACAGAAGATTCTGAGGACCGCTTTAGCTCTGAAATCTTCCAAGCTTGTAGGTTTGTGGGCATTATGACCTATAATAGCACATAGCGAGACGTGATATGATATTCTCTGGATGACTCTCAGGAAAGATGCAATTAAAATGTCACAAGGACTAGAAAGTTAATATGGAGGAACTTTGGTCAACCATCTGTTTAATTAGTTCTTCTAGTTAACCGGGGCTTTAAAAATACAGGACTGATTCCGTCATACATCAAAGGAAATATATGTTCTTGGCCTAACTGGTACCACTTCTTAAAATAGGTTAAAAACAAAGGCCGGTAGAAAAGCAGCAGGCCAAGAGAGTTCCCTCTACAGTTTTAGGAATGTTAGACTTCACTACCTCAAGGCTGTGACAAATGGAAGTGACCCATCCGCACATCCTTCTACTCCTTTTGCCCCCAATACGCCAAACTAGGAGAGGTCCAAGCGCACAGGGAAGAAGGACGTTTCTGTTGTGGATGAGGCCCCGCTTTTGATCTTTTCCTTATTTCTAAAGATGTAGATTCAAACATGGTTCTTCTGATGTTCCTCAGACCCATCCACCTACTTCTCCCAAGAGAGCTTCAGGCAGCATCCAGCACTTCTCTGTGTCCGCCCGGCCTGGTGACTGCAGGAAAGTCTCCTCACCACCACGATAAGTTGTGTGTGAGGTCCTGGCGGCTCTTTGAACAGAAGCCAGGTAGTTTATGGTTGGTGTGAGCCATGCTCTGCGGTGCCATCTTACACCTCCTTTACAAGGAAGGCATTTTATACCCACCTGGGAAATGCTTCTCAGCAAATGAGATGCCCTAACACTAGAGATGCAGGCTTCATTGATGTGTCCAGAGGCTGCATTCTAATTTCTTCAGTTTAGTGTGTGTGTCTGTGGCTCTGTGGTCTCTCAGAGGGCAGCTGATTTTGACGAGATTTCTTTCTGGACCGAAATACATCTAATTGTTTTCTCGTTTGTTCTCTCTCCTCCTCCTATAGGAAAATACTATTTGGTAGTTTGAATGTTCAGATTTTCTTTCTTCCTTGGTATATTCATTTATTTAACAAACATATATCTTACTACGTGTCAGGAACTATTGTAAAACTTTACAAATATTAATTTATTTATTCCTCATATGAATCCCTTAAGGAAGACAGTATTATAATGTCCATTTATATAGGTAAAAAAATTGAGGCACAGAGTAAGCAACTTGTCCAAGATCACACAACCAGTGAAGAGGTGAGCCCAGCTGTCGCAGGCACCAGCGCCTATGCTTCTAGTCACTGTGCCATACTACTTCAGACAGACCTCCTTCTAATCCCTTTCAGGTCTACACTAGAGTTTTGAACATAACTTGACATCTGAAAGAGGCTTACCCTCAGCTGAATTCATTCTTCAACAGGAAAGAGAAAGGGGAGAAAAGAACAGAATAAGAAAGACGTAGAATGAGGACAGGAGAGAAGTAGTGGAGAAAGGAACAAAGCCAGCAATGGAATTGAGCTCATGTCAAATCTTCCAGCAAGTGATGCTGGGTTTCTGCTCGGCTGCCTTTTATGGGTCCATGGAACCCTCTGACCTGTCTTCTTTGGTCCAAGAGGTGCTATCTGGGGGTCTTCAGAGGCACAGAAAGGAGAAGCATCCCCTGAGATTCCTGCCTCTTCCAATCAACCCACAACTTCATTCCATAATGCGCCCAGGGGAAGAGCAACACGGGGCTCAAAACAGCACTGACGTGCAGCGGGTGTTGGTCCCATCTTAAGATGAGGGCCACGAGGTCCCGAGAGACTGTGCTGTCCACTGTCATACAGCTAGAAAGTAGCAGAGCCCGGATTCAAACCCAGTGTCATTTGACAACAAAGCTCTATCATTTTCTAGTCCCCTCCATGGGTCCATAAGTACTCGCTGGGGAACCCAGCAGTCCCAGTGTCAGATAGTTAGGCAATGGTAGCAATCCACCTTCTCTCTGCCTCTACCACGACCTGGTCACTTCTGCGAATCCACTGAGAGCTCTGAACTCTTACATATCAATTATCCCATGTGTTTTCCAAGCGTCCTGATGAGACGAGCAGGGAAAGGTATCATTATGACCATTTTGCAGATGATTATATAATAACATTGGCAATTTTACTGACAAATAATCCTATTAGTGTTCAGTTTTAGAACTGAGCTTTTATTGTGAATTAAGGAAATCACTGGCTTTGAAACCAAAATAAGTGAGGTCGAGTTTGGATTTCATGAAACCATAGGGAGCTGCCTGTTTTTGCCAGTTAAGTAAGGGCAGGAACACACTCACCAGTCAGGAAGTCGGGGTCAGGGGTGGGCTCCGAGATTTCCTCCAGGCACTGATTCTCCAGAGGGACAGTGGCCACCACAAGACCATCTGGCAGTTGCTGGTCTAAACCTCGAGCGAAGTTGTTTTGCCTGGAAACAGAGGTAGACCTTCATTTCTTGAATGAGAGTTTCATTCAAGGAGCGAACCCCACTCCTTGGTGGGCAATCTATAACTCAACTTGCAATGAAAAAATTCTTTCTGGGCCAAAAAGTTCCCCGCCCCGCAAACCCCACTTGATGTACACGTCTGGAGTAAGAGGTAGGATGAGGGCTCAGGGAGATGAGAAATCAACCAGCTGAAAATGTCTACTCAAAAGATAGACAATATTCTTCCCTCCCTCCCATCCCAGTCCCTATGCCCTGACTCCCTCTCCATGAGATCTGGACATACTCAGTCTCCTCTGTAGACTGCAGTGAAGACTCCAGCCACCACAAGATTAGTTATGATGCCTCACCGCTTGCCTTTCACTAAAAGAGGAACTATTAATAAAGTCTTTCTGTCTGTAACAGAAAAAGCAACTGACTCTAAGAACTGGCTCAGATAATCACTATCAGTTTGCTTCCAAGAGTCGAGGCCCGGGTTGTTATCAACTGCTGGTCCTTACTACAACACTTTCATCATCATCATCATCTCCTGGAAAGCAGCATGGGTTCTGGGGGAGATATATTCAAATAGCCTAAGATAGAACAGGGACAGAGGTCAAAAGGAAAATCTCCTAAAATATTCCAAACCAATGGTTTGGAATTCCAATGGTTTGGAATATTTTGTTCTCAGGACCTTAAAAATAATTGAAGGCCCCAAGTAGCTTTTGTTAATGTGAATTATATCTATTAACATTTAACATTTTGGAAATTGAAAGATAAATTTTTAAAATATTTATTAATTCATTTAAAAATAACAATAATAAGGGCCAGCCCTGGTGGCCTCGTGGTTAAATTCGGCACGCTCTTCTTTGGCAGCCCAGGTTCGGACCCTGGACATAGGCCTACACCACTCATTGGTTAGCGGCCATGCTGTGGCAACAGCCCACATAAAAAAAGAAAAAAAGAGGAAAATTGGCAACAGATGTTAGCTCAGGGCTAATCTTCCTCAGCAAAATAAATAAATAAATAAAAATAACAATAATAAATCTATTAAATGTTAACATATACCATGAAACATGAGGAGAGGAGTGCCATTATTTTACGTTTTTTGAAAATTTTAATACTGTCTGACTTACTAGAAGACAGCTGAATTCTCACCTCTGCAACATACTGTTTGAGTTGAACTATATGAAGAAAATCCAGCCTTTCTGTACGTGGAAAAGAATATCCCCTGAAAGGCTCTCATAAACCCTAAGGGATCCTTCGACCATGCTTGAGGACTGATATTGTAGACTGACTCACACACTGATCCTTCCACTCAGAGGGAACAGAACTTGAGCATTTGGGTGTAGCTGTCATGGAAAATATTGCAGTCCTTGCCTGGGCAAGACAAAAATTTACCTAACACTTTCCTGTTCCCCAAGAGGAAGCATGGTTCTCAGATTCTGGAAGGAGGAATGTCCCATGATCTTCTGATCATGGGAGAGAACATAACCTATCCTTTTAGGATCACATTTACCTTGCTCCAAGATACAAAACTGTTTCCTGACTTTAAAGCTCTTCAGGGAAGAAGATCCATCAACAGCCCTGAATAATCAGTTCTGTGGACGTGAAGTTCACCTGAATGTGCCTTTCAGCACTTGTCCAGCGGCCACTTCCTTGGAATGGTTGTTGTAACCAAAGAACATCTCCCCAAAGAGGGTCTGGTTCATGGGAAGCTCCCTGATTTCCCCACAGTCCCCTCCCTCGGGGCAGGTCTCCGTGATGAGTTGGCAAGAGCGTCCATCCACACCAAGCTTGTAATCCTCGATGCACCTAACACAGTGGAAAACTCAAGATAAGAAGTTATTCCATCAATGAGCTGTGCCGTCAACTCAACCCAATAGACCGGGAAGAAATGCCTTTGGGAGAATGTTGGATGGCTAAAGATTATGAACATCCCAGTTCCATTTTGTCCCCTTTATAATTCAGTTTCTTAAGCCTATAAAGCGAGTCTCCTTCCATGATGTGATCACACAGAACCTCTCGCCTTTCCTCTGCAGCTTTCCTGTCAGGTTTTTGGTGTGCTCTCTCCTCTAATAAGTGCATATTTTCCCAGATAGGTCAGGGTAAGAATCACTGGAGATAACTTATAAATAAGTTAACACATTTAAACCCAAGATACTCTAGAGCCTTTCTCCAGAACCATCTATATGGCCAGACCCTGCATCTGTTTGGAGGGTAATTAGGCAGCAAAACGAATGACACTGTGCTTAAGAAATTAATAACCTTCTAATCTGGTCCTGTGACAAGTCAACTAAGAAATTAGAAACATTGATCATTTTCTGGCTGTGTTCTGTTTGAATGTATCCAAACACGAGATCAACCCATATTAACTCGCCTCCATCAGTGTGGCCTGCCTGAACCAAATAGATGCTACGGCACGCTGTGTGAACACTTCTTTAGCAGCCTCCCCATTAAGCATATAGTCACTCTAATGAAGAACAATACTAATGCTGGTAAACACGGGTCAGTGACCCTTAAGTCATTAACTGGACCTTATGTGTAGTTATAATGAGAAGAATATAATCCGTTAATTCACGTATGAATGACTTTGATAAAGCTGTCATTTAAAAAGCATACTGATTTAATTTGGGTCTCTCCTCAGAAATATACCAGATTTAGAATTTATAGATGATCATGACATTAAAACACATCGTTTATTACTATCTGAGATATTTGTTGTAATAATATAAAAATGTCTGTTCTATATAGGGGAATAAATAATGATAGTTTTAAGTGATGAGAAGGAATATTGTAATGGTAATGACACTGTCCTTTACTGGGTGACCTTGGGTCAGTTGACTAAACTCTCTGAACTTCAGTTTCCACATCCGTGAAAGGGGGAAAAACTAGCTGCTTCGCTGGGTTGTTGAGAAGATTAAGTGAGATAATGAACTTAAAGGACGTCCATTGTACCTAGCATACAGCGGGTATTCATTAAATGCTGCTGCTGTTATTATTAGCAGAGGTACAAACAGGCCCACTCTAGTGCAACTTTACAGCTCATTTTCCCCATTTACATGTTTGTGTGAACAGTGTGAGTAGAGCTCTTCAGTTGTAAGTGCACGTGATCTGGCCTTCATATAAGAACCTCACATCAAGGACTTCTATTGGCAGGCTACAGAGAGTGGCTTGGAGACCGCTAAATACACACATGTACCAAACTCTGCTTGAAAGGGGAAAGTCCACTTAGGGAGCTACTGCATTAGTCCAGGCACCAGATGTGACTCGAAACCCAAAGGACTTTAATGGCACCAGCCTAGATCTGGAACAAGAAAGTAAAGCAGCTCCTTCCTTGAGCAATAACATAGTGTTTCTGGAAGGAATTTTCAAGGTGGTTGGTTCCCTCTCAGTCCATCTTGAACATCTCGACAGCTTCCCCTTCCACACTGCCCCATTTCCCCTGTTCTCCTTTGTGTTCACGGCCATGTGTCCCACTGTAAACTCCTGTGAGGGCAGAGACCAAGTCTCGTATCCAGCTGTCACTGCTATACCTAACACTTAACTAGGTTCTCTGCAAAACTCGTGCTCGCATGCATGTTTATTAAATAAATAAAGCTACGCGACTTCGGCTGAATTTAGCTCTATTAATTGAAGTGGGTCAACCACAATGATAACATTAGAGAGACATTAAAATGTAGATCAAACTCCCATTTATAGGATGGGAGTTTACAAGAAACTGAATATGAAAATTGCTCAATTGCAAAGAAATAGAATAAAATGAAATACAATAAAATAACATTACTACTCCACCAAATAATCTTTTCATGATTATTCAGCAGGCACTGGCTTTTAGCAACAATCTGGCATAGCTTTATTATTACAAATATTGATTTCCATTGCAAGCCTTTTAGATTGCGAGATCCTTGAGGGCAAGGAAAGGGGCGGGGAGGATAGACAAGCAAACTATGGGTATAGAAGAATGGGCCAAATCTTTATTTACTTTATAAATATAGTGTGCAAATGTCTTTAAATATAATTCCAGTCAGCGATGTAAATTTAAATGTTGAGGGAACCACAGAACTTTCAAGAAACCAAGGAGGCCTGAATTCTAATCCTAATCTTCCCACTTACTGACTCCCCAGTCTTGAGGGAGTCACTTAACCTTGCTGTGCGTTAGTTTTCTCATCTGTAAAATGGGATAGCATTGCCTGCCTGCTCCCGCACGGAGTCATCCTCAGAACAAATGAAGTGAGGTGGGTGAAAGAGCAGATCCACAGTCGGGCTCTTTAACTACGGTGAGAAGCTGCTACGTCTGAGCAGGGCGGCTGCGTTCACAAAATGCAGGGACTTTAGGAGCAGAATTTAATTCTACATCCACTCCCCCAAAGATTCCCCCTCCCCCTCTTAGACAATTGATTAGTCTCACACAATCTTTCCCAAGCTTTTGGACTGTGGAATCCTTTTGTCACAAAACACCTAATTAACCTAGTTCCAAAAAACACAGCTTGGAAAATTCTGGTGTAAACGGGCAATGCCTGCGGTCAGTTTCCTCATCTGTAGGGGTGGGACTAGACTTTCCCTAAGAGCCCTCCCAACTCTGCCTTTAAAAGGGCTCCTCTTCCAGTCCTCCAGGCTTGCTCCTCAGAGTCTGAGAGCTGGTCTAGGGTGGCCAGCTCATTCAGATTTACTTTCCTAGTTTTAGCATCGAAAGTCCTGCAAGGCAGCAAGCCGGTTGGCCTCAGGGGCAGTTCAACTCACCCGCAGAACATGAGGATGTTGTATAAGGTGGGGTCCTCTGGGAAGGGCGCCATCTGCTGGAGACACAGCTGCTCACAGCCGCCATTGAAGCCGTCAGAGCAGTCCACCCCAATGTGGCGGTCGTAGCAGCCAGAGCTGTCCTTCATCGGGCTAAGTCCGGATGGGCACTGGCACAATCAGAAAACATGCACACAGTTGCGTGAATCAGGGGACCAGGTTCTCTGGGAACCAGAGTATAACCACTGGTGCCTATTTTTAGCACTCAGTCTTGAAATCATTAACTTTGGCAAGCAATGCATGAATTTCCCACTACGCTGGACTCCCTTTAAAAGCAAGTGACCTTTTTTGACATCTTGCTTCTTCTCTCTGGGCACAGATCACACATATTCGCATTAAAGCCAATTCCTCCAAACAGGCTGGAACGGAGCATTGTAGCAAGATAGAGCTAGGTGTGCAGGCCTCCCGCTTGGGCCCAGGCTGGCAGAAGAGTGGAAGTGATGGGCCAGAATTAAAATGCATTAGCAGAGATTCCTTTTGGCTAGGGGAAGGGAGTGCTTCTGTTTGGACTTAGTATTAATAAGAGTTTCTTTTAATGTCCAAAGCACTTTGTCAACGTTGGTACCGGACAGCGGTGTTGGACGGAACGGACAGAGCCAGGGCTTCCAGCTAGAAGGACGAAGTGGACTTTCTCTGTGACCTTGGAGGGAGGTGTGACTGCTCTCCTCATGGGAGTGACCATACTCACGACCTTCCCCTTCAAGGACACCCTGCGGAAGACGCACAGACAAGGCAGCTGCTACATGAGCACCCACAGGGGCTGCACTGGGCTCGAGCTTTATCCCAGTGCCCTGGACACTCAGTGTGAAGGAATTAGCTTTTCTGCACTGCTGCGTCATCAATAAACTCCTCAAGAACGACAGCAAAGGAGATAATCCAGGAAAAGATGTCAACCGGAATCTGGGGAAGACAAAGGGGCTTGGCGAGCAGTAGGAGCGCTCATATGGCACGCATCCTGTGCTGGGCAGCGTCTAACTCACTCATTTTACTCATTTAACCCTCAGGACATCTCCTTGAGGTAAGCAGTGTGATCAACCCCATTTTACATATGAAAAAGCACAGAGAGCTTAATGTTCCTATTCCTAAAGTTGCACTGCTGCTCACCGCAGGACCACACCCGAAGCCCTGGAGGCTGGCTATGACATCCATGACTTAGCTGCTCTTTCGTTCTCTTACACCATGCTCAGTCTCTCACACAACAGTGACCGTTTACCGAACACTTACTAGGAGCAGGGCGCTATGCTATGTGCTTTCGGTATTTCATCTCACAGCACCCTATATGAGTCTCATTTAATCGATGTGGAAACTGTTAACACTGCCAATTAAAGCATGAACTTCTCACTGCTCTGGATTCCGTCTGAAAGCCCATGAACATTTTTTGCCATCCTGCTGCTTTTGTCTATGCAACAGATCCTGCACATCTGCGTTACAGCTGATTCTTTCCAACAGGCTGGAAGGGGGCAAATAACTCGCCCAGGGTCAGGCAGCTAGTATGGGGCAGCGCTGGGGGTCTGTCTAGATCTGACCTGCTTTTAAGGACTGTGCTATACGCATACTGTCAGCTAGCTAACACACTCCTCCAAAACCAAAACCAAACCAAAAAAACTCTTTCAAAACTTGGTGGAACCGTGTTCAACACTTCCCCTCCTGCCCTGCTGCCTGGCTGCCTCTTTTTCACCGCTGCCAAGCACCTTGGCCTGGTAGGCCGGAGCTGCCGCAGGTGTGCCTCTGAAGACCCACCCCCCTCCCTCCCCGCTTCCGGATGGAAGATCACGCAGCAGGATGTGCAGTTTGCTGACACTAATTCTGCAATTTTCCAAACAAATAGCCCCGCTGTGGGCCTCCCAGGATCCCAGCCTGGTCCATCCTCTCTCTCCCCATGAAGCCAGCTGGAATGCTGGAAGGTGACAGCATTTAAAGAAGTTTCTAAGGGCTGCCTCATGTTGTGCAAACCCAGATGTTCCAGAGATGGTAAACAAGCAAATGAGGCAGCTGAGGATTGCACCCTACATTTCGTTAGCCCCCCCACCCATCCACTTGCTTGGCTACCCAGCTGTTAGGCCAGATGTGCCACCAGAAAGGAGCTGGCTTCACCACTGTGAGGCTTTCCAGGCATGCATGTAGGTTGAAACACAAAAGTTTGACTGGAATTAAAGAGGCTACACTAGTTGCCATGAATTCTTTTTTTTTTCTTTCCACAAAGCTGGGGAAAAGCCGTCAAAGTAGGGACAAAGCCAGTCCATCCTGGTACCAGCTAGCTTTCTCAGTCACCAGCCAGGACGCCCCATCTTCTCAACCACCTGCTTTTTTTCGGAATGCCCCATCAAGTGTGATTTTTGACACAGACATCATCAAATGAAACTCCAGCAGGCTTTGTTCCAGCATTCCAAATCCTGGCACATCTATGTCTTGCCTGGCTCTGGTGTCTAGATGACCGTTGCTATGCCAAATTGGACCACCTGATATTTACACCCTCTTAGGAGGTTTGGAGAGGAGACAGTCAGCTACCTTGTCCATGTCGGACTTTTTTTGTTCTTATAAGCAAAGCTAAAAATAATAATAACAGCTATCCGGAATTAAGCAATTCTACGTGCAGGACAATCTACATATATTACCTTCCATCCCAACACACAAGGAGACTTTTTTCCCCTCATTTTACAGATAAGAAAACTTAGACTCAGAAAGATTAAGTAGTAACTTGTTTAAGGTCACAGAGGTGGAAAATGCCAGAATCAGACTTGGACCTAGATCTGTCTGACCCCAAAGCTCATGTGTGTCCCTTCCGCTCTGCCCTGTTGCTTTACAGGTGTGAGATAACCTGGATTCATTGGAATCCAAAGAAATAAGGTCAATTTGTCAAGAGTTAAAGCGATCCTATAGATTTGTGGTTTGTTTGATTGTTTTAAGCAACTCCTGGAGTACATTCTCGGAGTAATAATGGATTTGTAGGTTCAGCCTAACATTCTCTCTCTCTCTCCTCTTTCACACACATGCACACACACACCCCCCGTATTATGAGTCCATACATTTATAAGGCAAACACTGCACACTGTCCAGAGCCGTGACCTTGAAGGCAAGACAAGATCCTCAATCACCGAAAAAGATGCAATTATCTTTACCACACTATAGCTTACTTGGGCTGCAGTTCAGAGTAGAACATTTTTGAAAGATTTCCAGAAAAAAAAAAATGAAACGAAAAATATAGTTTTCTTCTTAACCCTTGATGAACCAGAACAGCCACTCCCCAAAGAGTCTAATCACTCATTTCCCATGGTATAAATTTGTTTTTGTTTTTGCCTAAATGTTCCTTGTGCTGTTTCTTCATATTCTGGGCTCCTGAAAATCTTTGTCTACCTACAAGGAAACCACAGGCTCCTAACCATGCCCTCTTCCTGGAAGTATTTGCTACCAGAGCCCAGTTGTCAGGAGAGAAATCCTGTCTCCAGGAGGAGCTTGTATTTTCTCTTCGTAAGCACCGGCCATTCTCTTCTTCTGGCTTGTGGACAATCCCTCCACTTGTTCCTTAAAATAGAACCGTTTGCTCAGGATTGAGCCCCAAGGTCATATTTTAACCTCTCTCGGCAGAGGTTACATGTGGCAGTCCCAGGGCCTTTATCAACTACAGGCTTGAGAAGAAAACTCCATTTATCATGGCAACAGCCCTCCTCCATCAAGAAGGCCTAATAAATGAGCCCATATTTCAGTGACCCCTAAAATACACAAGGTTAATCATCGTTCATGAGACGCTCATGGCTTCGTGACTTATTACTGGTCTAAGGCACATTTTGCTAATGAGATTAAAATGGTTTTCCCCATTCAATCCCTTTTCTTCACCATCTTTCCCCTCTTTTTCCACCAATGGTTTTCGGTTGATTAATTACTTAGGATCCTAGTCGGATCTCACTGAGCCAGAGACACACACACCTTCGTTCCAGATTAGGAGGTGAATGTCTGATGGCTGCTGAATATGAGTGATGGACACATGAGCCTATTCAGGGCTCCTGGGAGAAGGGAACAACTTCCTGCCGTCGAGCCTGTCTCGCCTTACCTGCGTGATTCAGAAGACACGCAACCATAATTCCCACAATTCCTACTCAAAATCGATTCTCTTTTTCTACACGGCAGTCGTCTTCCTCTCACAAATAATGATTTCCCTGACTTTCGGATGGGCTCTGACACGCAAGCCCAAGCCACGCAGGCCTTCTCCCAAGGGGAAAAGTTTGATGGAATTAAATTTATATCTCAGCTTCCTGCCCCCATTTCTCTGAAAACCTCTGAGGCATACTCTTCTGCTTCCTGTCCTACAGAGAGAAAGAGAGCTGGTCATCTGTGATGGTCTCTGCACATCTGCGCTCCAGTAGAGGTGAAATGACACATTTCGTGGGAGACCATTGTGGACAGCATGTGGACAGAGGGCAGCAGGGTCATTGGGTAATTCGAAGCTCATTAGAGCATAATGCTCTGGTGGGGAAGGTCATATGTTCAATACACGAGAAAGCGGGACAGCCGACCTCTCCCTTCCAAGGCCACAGTCTGCTCACCTAAGTACATGCAGACATCTCACAAACCAAAGGCTTTTGTTTTGGCTACTTTTGGGAAGCTGAGAAAGGAATATTAGAACATGGGCTTTTCACTTTTGTTACAGCTTTGTAAATCATTTTCAAGACTTTCAAACAAAGTTTTATATTAAAGCTCAAGAGGTAGGCTTGATAAGAAGGAAGATGCCGTGGTTAAAGCTGAAGGTGGGGAGATGAGAGTCCTGCTGACCAAGTCTGCTCCAATCCCCACTGTCATCTACTGCCATCTCCCACTGATGGCCTCCCAAGGATGTCTGCCACATAATCCTGGGACCCTGTGAACATGTCAGCTTACATGACCAAAGGGGCTTTGCAGATCAAGTTAAGGATCTTGAGATGGGAGATTATCCTGGGTTATCCAGGTGAGCCCAATGTCATCACAAGAGTCCTTAAAAGTACAAGAGGGAAGCAGAAGAGAGAGAGAGGGGGAGATGTGCTACAGAAGAATGGTCAGAAAAATGCAACGTAGCTGGCTTTAAAGATGGAAGAAGGGTACCGTGAGCCAAAAATATGGGCGGCCTCTTGAAGCTGGAAAAGGCAAGCCAGTGGATACTCTCCTAGAGCCTCCAGAAAGAACACAGCCCTGCTAAGACCTTGATTTTAGCCCAGTGACACCAGTATTGGATTCTCATCTACAGAGCTGTGAGATAATAAATGTGTGTTGTGGGGCTGGCCCCGTGGCGCAGCAGTTGAGTGCACACGTTCCTGCTTCGGCAGCCCAGGGTTCACGGGTTTGGATCTAGGATGCGGACATGGCACTGCTTGGCAAGCCATGCTGTGGTAGGCGTCCCACATATAAAGTAGAGGAGGATGGGCACGGATGTTAGCTCAGGGCCAGTCTTCCTCAGCAAAAAGAGGAGGATTGGCAGCAGTTAACTCAGGGTTAATCTTCCTCAAAAAAAAAAAAAAGAAAAGAAAAAGAAAAATAATAAATGTGTGTTGTTTTAAGCCACTAAACCTGTGGTAATTTGTTACGGCAACCATAGGAAACTACTACAGGAACTTTGCAGGACCTTATGGGGCTCCACAGAACAGAGAACCACAGCTATTGTGCCTTCCAGGCAGGGACCCCTGCCCCCGCCTTAGCAGTAAGGACAAGGGGTAGAAGTAAGACGTGGTTATCAGCAGTGGGTGGCGGACCTCTGCTCCGGGAGCCCTCCCAAAGGTTCTGTAATCTCTCTGTTGGAGAGTGGTTTGGTCTGGAATGGAGTGATTGTGGCTTGTACAGGTCTGTGCCTTTCACGGGTGTTTGTTTCCCATCCCCAGAGACTCTATAAACAACAGGGCAATTAACTGGGTAGCAATTAACCCTGTGGGAGTCCATGCATAACTGAGAAACATGCCCTGCCTTCCTGGAAAGAATGAAGGTTGAGCAACCCCACCTGTCTGGCTTGAATTCAGTCAGGCAAATATGCACATACACTGTCTCTTCCCATATCTGCCTCTTTCCTGGGTTTCTTAAGGGCCAGCATGTTCTGAGTTCCTGGGAAGCCTTTCAGTTCGGCACCCAGAGGACTGAGCGTCAGGGTTTATGTGCAGAGGAGGAAGGGAGCCCAGTTCTCCCCCAAGTGCAGCTGGTGCAGCTGATCCCTTTGTCCCTGGTCCACCTCCAGATGACACAGGACCGCTCTGCTAATACACCAGGACTTCGGGATAGTACTGATGCCCAGGGGAGGCAGGTCAGCTCAAGGTAAAGTCCCCGGTCTTCTCAGTAGGGTCATAAGGGTCATGATGTGACACATCAGCTTTCAACCCTTCAGTCCTCTGTTTCAAGGATCATGTGCTTCGTAGCCAATGAGAAACAGACAATTGAATGGGCCTGCCAGTCAGCCTGGCCCCCTCTTCCCTCTAAGAACCACGTGGACCAGTGACTTCAAAGTGTTATGTTAATACCAGGCACCGGTATAATTGGGTGGCTTTCTGCAGTGGCTCCTATTCTAAAATGCAGTGATCTTATTGCAAATGCATATTCATTGGAACTATTCCTGCTAGCTCCGTCTCACAGATCACAGTGTTAAAAATATAAAAATACATCAGCACGGCTATGTGCCAAGTAAAAGGGGCTAGGATCACCAACAGAAGGCGTTTGACAGGCAAACCCTTAGGGGCTCAGGAAAGGGGCAGAGAAGTGAGAAGAGATGGAGAATATATCCGTGTGCATGTGTGTGAATATGTGAGCATCCTCAAACTCATATGGAGGTAGCTTTAGGGGGTGGGGATGGATGTTCACACATGTGCACACACAATATTTTAGTACTTAGAATGACCCGAGAGAGTAATGAGGAATGAAAGGCTGAAATCCGGATGAAGAAATGCAGCCCGAATAGTAAAAAAAATACGTCTCAGCTGGGAGTTCCATTAGACAGTGAAATCGTCTCCTGAGGGACCCGGTTGGGAAGCTCATTGCTTAAGACATCTGAAAGTGGACCAGGCAAAGGGAGGGGAGCATGGTGGAGCATCAGCTCACCCCTGGCTGCCTTTGGAAGACACAACCTACAGAGTGCTTTTCTTTGTATTTTCCTGATAGTCCTCTCTGTTCTGGTTTGCCTGTCTTTTGATTGACCTGCCAGGTTCTCCATCTACTTGCTCCTCAGTGTTCTCTCTTTCCCTTTTCTTTTCTTCATTTTCTCTCCCTTCTCAGATGAATCAGGCTTCTGTCAGCTACTGCCTAGCCTGTGAAAGTCTGGGGAAGCCTAAGGGCTGAGAGAGTCCCACCCTGGATCCCAGGGACATATCCGTCTTTGATGGAGAGCAGCTCCCTGAACAGAGCAGGTGCTCAGAGACAGGAAGATGAGGGTGTGAAAGATGGCATGGGCCCAGCATCCTCACAGCTTGCCCCTGCTCTGAGTCCCCTTGCAAGAGCACAGCTGTCAGATTGAGAAGCAAGATGAGGCACCATATTCTCCCTGGAGCTGTAAGCTCCTGGTCCTGCCCCCAAAACACTGCAGAACTACATGTCTCAATAAATCATCTCTCCCTCTCCTTTATGCCCACTTTACGCACAGCTTTCCTGCCTCCCTTCTCTGCCCCATTCCCTCTCCTCTCAGTGAGGATTTCATCATTCTGCCCCTAAAAGAAGAGAGGGCTGGAAACAGACAATAGTGTTGATGGACATGAAAGTGACCAATAGAAAGGCACCAGCAGCTGATGGCTTCATCTGCTCCTGCCTCCATTTATCTGTGTGGTTCGATCAATCTTCATACCTTTGGCGTGGGAGCTGTCTTAGTCTATCATAGCCCAAATAGTCTTTCTAGTGAATAGCATCACGTATTTTAAAGGTAGCCAAAAACCACATAGCTGATAACGAAGTAGAAAACCATCTTTGACAAAGTAGGAGTTCATTGACTTCATCTCAAAGGTGACATTTTTTTTATTTTTCTTCTACCATTCCTGGAGTAACTTACTTCCTTCATCATTCTGGCCTTAGGCAAGTTCCTCCTAAAATTTCCCATTACAGTCAATGTAATTTGACTCTAGCCAAAGGTAGGTTTCTTCTAAATTTCCTATTACAGTAAACATAGTTTATTTCCTATTAGAGTCAAGATTATACTATTTAGCAGTTAATTAGTTTTCAGATTGTTTGGGGTATCCCTTACAAACTAGCCTGAAAGGCTGGAAAGAAAGAATCATGCTATATAGTTCAAGAAATTTCCCTTGGATAGATACACACAGTAGGTACTCCATAAATACTTCTTGATTAATGGACTGTGATTAGCTCCTCATGTCTGTCAAGGGAAAATTCATAATTTAGACTAGATGGTGGTTACACCTAGGGAGGGATCACTCTTGACCCTCTCTTTCATTCACAATATAGTTTTATCCATGTACCTGCATTGTGTCTTATCCTGTGCACTGCTCCCCCACCCTCAAAATGACAAGCTTGACAGGGCACACATACCACACAACCAGTGGAGTCCAGCTTGCGATCTGAGATGCAACGGAAGTTCTTACTGCAGCCCCCATTATCCTTGCTGCAGTCACGCACTGGACCGAAGGAATCTAAGAGAACCTCCAGGCTGTCGAAGGAGGATGAGGTCATCAGCTCCTCCCTGCGGGGAGAAACAGCAGGAGATGGCAGGCATCAAGGGCTCCACGTACAACAAGTAGCATCATAGTCCGCGTTCCTATCTGGCCAGCTGGATCATGTCTCACTCTCTCTTACAAAAAGGAAAGATCAACCATACCCTGAGCCTTGAACTGACGAATTATGGACATTCTCCATATCTGGGAAAGGAGCCAGGGCTGTAACGCCTGGTCAAAGGAGGTCTAAACTTGGGCAAGGAAATTAACATTTTATTGCCTGTCAGTGCTTTGGGGCTGCAGGAAGTGCTTACAAACTCGAATTTTATGTCCTTTCCCAGTGCCTGAGCCTTGGGGTGTGCAATATTGACCCAGATAGAGTAGACCCCGGCCCGGTGTCTGGGGAATTGGAGGGCAGCCTGCCAACTTCTCCTTTCGGCTAGGCATGATTCTTTTCCCAGCACCTTGGACCTTCAGGTCGTTTCTCACTGAGCCTCCCAAGCCAAATGCAGGCCTCAGCGTGCTGGGGCAGGGCTCACCTGACCTCCACAGCGTCCTCCATCACTGTCATGTCTGTCTTACACTTCGCTGATGGGTTGATGGCCAGTTCAGCTGGTGGAATCACAAAGCTCTTGCTGAGAGGCAGCCACATGCCTTCCCCAAGGGTGTAGGTGAATCTGCAGGTACACCCAACACCAGGTGGTTATGACTGAGGGGATAACCACCCCCACCGGGGAGCCTGGCATTCTATCTCCAGCTGCTTCCTTCTCACTCCTCGTAGTCCTCTTCAGAAAGGAGAGTTTATCGCCATTTTATGGATGAGATGACTGAGTCTGATGGAGGCAGAGAGGCCTACTCCTGCTCACATGTTGAGACAGCTGGAGAACTGATTATGGTACCCACACACCAGCTGCTAGAAGTGGTTTTTATTAAGTTGTGAGAAATTGAGTCCCAGTTTCCTTGAGATGTGAAGCTGGGCTTCCCCTACCTTAAGGCGGATATAATTGGAAGCATTCTAATTGAGGAGACATGCCGGCATCCCACCATCCGCATCCCTCGGGTCGCACACCCACGGTGGAAGTGATGGCTCCTCTCTGTGCCTGCAGGAACCCTACCGAGGAAAAGAAGGGAGGAAAGCTCCCCTTTTCTGACTTCTGTGTGGTGGGAACAGAAATGACCAGAGCCAGGAGCCTCCAGGGAGGAGAGAAGAGGGAACCAGACAGGCCTGGATGTCTTCTCTGCAGCACTCCCACCCACACCCTCAGATAATGGCCTTAACCCTCAGGAGACAGGGAAGATTTTTTTTTATTATTCTTACAACAAGGGCTAAAAGGAATAAAAGAATCAATCAGCATTTCAAGGGAGAGCTTAAGGAAACCATGAGAGATTATTTGTTTATTTATTCATTCATTTTATTTCAAAGGCATTCAAATGCTCTGTGTTCACAGTCAAAAATAGTCTATGGGATAAAAGCCAGTGTGGGTGGGATATCACGAGGCTGTGGCAGTCTGGCGTCCCCTTCCAACTTAATGTGGAGGGAGGAACAATGGAAGGATGCGCACAATTAAACAGAACCCAGCACTGGTTCGATTATCATGCTGGTCACAGAGTACCATTTCAGAATGCTGTTCCTTTCTCTCCCTTAACCCACACGCTCCCCTCTCCACTCCCCGGGATGCCTGAGATGCTAGGAAACAAGAGAGATGACGTGAGATCTTTTCTGAGAAATGCAACCCCCTCTAGAATGCTGGCCTCAGAGAATGCCCACTGACGGAGGCTCAGGCGTTACCAGCAGCCAAGCCACACAATTCTCACCCACTCCCTGAAAGAGAGCCCTAGGCACCAGAGCAGCTGAAAGGGGAGGAAGCAGGTGCCCAGGGGAGAGGCAGACCACTGAGCAAGCGGGATGTGGCCACGATTTGGGAGATTTCTTCCCTATTCCCACTCTTACTCTTGGATCTCTACTTCTCTGACCTGCTGGGCAAACCTCTGCCTTAAGCGGCATTGAAATACCACAGATGCTTCTTGCTCTGAAGGAGGCTCTCAACTCTTCCCACCCACAGGGACATGAGGCAATAGGTGGCACGGGGTCTGCACAGGGGGCTCTGTACCAGGTAAGGGAGGGACATTACTGGGGGGACAGAAGAGGGGACCCACTTCTTCACTCTTCTGTGAAGCAGTTGGCAAAACTGAAGGCATGACAGCCCCTTTACACACACACACACACACACACACGTGCACACATGTCATCTGACAAGATTAAGGAACCAGTTCAGGGCAAGTGATTGCTGTGAGGTGCCCGGAACCTGGGACTTAAGGATGAATGTGAGTTGAAGGCAACAACACGCAAGTATTTGTATTCACTTTGCATTTCCTAATGGACATTCTTGAGATTAGCAACACTATGATAGGCAAGCTGGGGTGGGGGTGCCACTAATATTGTATATAATATATAGTTTCAGAGAGAACATGCACAAGTTTGCATGGTACCAGGGAGGAGGCAGTTTCTTTGGACATAGAGGTGAGTTTTTGTTTCCTGTTTCGGTTTTAAAATGACCAAGTTTTGCGTTGATGCAGAGCAACCGATCTGTGATCTGTAGCTTATAATTTATGCAACAGATTTTAGGAAACTGTTGGGAGTACTAGCACATTTCTGATGGTTAATTTTTCTTTTGAGAGAGAGATTCACATCCATCAATCTCACAGTTTTCCCTTCCTCCTGTACATGCAGTAATATTGCGAAAGGAAAAGCAAAGATCTTTCCCAACTGAAACTGTCCGATGACACCCCAGGCCTACAGAACAAAGTTCACATCGCCAAAGACATCATTGCCACCCACTTCCGCAGCTCCTTCTTTCACTAAACCCTGCTTCACACTATGTGCTCCTATAATGCAATCTGACTGTAGTTCCTAAAATCGTCCTAATTTTCACACTTCTTTGCTTTTGCTCCTAATATTCCCTCTTGTTGAATTTTCCTTCCTCTCTTTTTTGTAGGACTCCCACTCACTTTAAGATTCAGTTAAGGTCCCACCCCTTCCAGAAAACCCTCCAGAACCTTCACACTCAACCCTCAGGCCAAGCAAGGGGCTCTCCTCCATGCACGTGCACACAGTCCCTTGTCTCCCTGAGAGACTGAGTTGTGCCCATCTTTTCATGCGTCCATCAGCCTCAGCAGAATGTGCTCTCTTGGATGGCACAGGACAGTTCTTCATCATCTTTGTATCCCTATTGCCTAACACAATTTCTGGCCCAAGGAGGCCACTCCATCAATCTTGATTGACTGATCAATAAAGAGATTTAGTTATGCTCTTTAGTTTGCACAGGCTACTGGGGAATATAATCTCAATTTTCAAATTTAACGATGGGAGCGGTGGTGATTCATTTAGCGGTGGTCCTTCATTTAGAGCAGGACATGGAGTAACCTCTGGGTTTAAATGAATTTAATGGTCAAGATGGATCTGGGTTTGATATTGTGAGGAATTTTCAAAGTACACAAAGGCTTCTGAGATGTGACACTGTACTAAGTTAACAAGAAAAACAGTGTAATCTTCCATCTCTGGTGCGGTCAAGGTGAAACCCTGCAGGGGAAGCAAAGCCAGGTGGGCAGTGAGACTATCTTTATCGAGAACTCTCAAAGGGGCAGCTGCTCTGTAGACTGGCTCATTTATCCTCACAACAGCCCTCTGAGGTTAATCGATTGGCCCCATTTTACCAATTTGTCAACTAATATTGTAAGAAGTTTAGCGACCTCCCAAGGTCACCTCTCCCTAAGTGGGAAAGATAGGGGTTGGTCCAATTCTTAAGTGTGGCTCACAGCAGCTTTCCAGTCCATGCTAGCTCATGCCTATGCAATTCTAAAGTTTTTCTTTTATCTGCAAAATCTACTGAGTAATTCCAAAAACCAAATATAGAACAAACTGTCAGAGAAAAGCTGTGTCCTGAAATTTCATCTGTCCCTCATTCATGCAGATTTGGCAGGAATTATTTCAAAAAGCCACCAAAGAGAAGTTGGGTGAGCATCTGGAATGCTTTCCCAAGTTGGGCCTTCTCTGTTGACAGCTGGTGGTGACTATCACAGTTGATGGCTCGGCTGTAGCCTGAGTCCTGCACACGACCCTGTTGAACTAGAGCTTGAAACTACTGTTCAGAGGCAAACACTTGCCAGAGAGCACTGGACAGAACAAGCCTGTGTTCTCACTGTGCCTTGGCGTCAAGTAGAATGTGGGAAACCTGATAAATAGCTCTTAGCCTGGCTTCTCCACTCTTCCCAAAGCAGGCCATTCCGGGATGAGGTATTGTGCCCAGGGATGCAGGTACACACTTGGGAGGAAGGTCTCCAAGAGATAAATTTGGTCTACAGTAGTCCCTGCCACTAGAGGGTCTAGTGATATGGAGTGATCCTAGCCACAGTGGAAAGGTGGTCTTCAGCACTAGACCGGGTTTGGTCAGAAGACTCAGGCTGGAGGTTCAGAGTCCCTTTGGACCCTTCCCAGGATCTTTGGGATTGTAGATTACCAGGATTAGGTTGGGTATCAAGGTCTTTTCCTAGTCTGGTTTCAAGTTCTTAGGAAATCTGAAGTCATCATCTACAAATCTTTGGTGAAGACCTACTGTGTTTAAAATTCTATGTTAGATATTAAATTGTGTGTTAAAAATGTATGTTAGATATTAAACACTTAAAGCCATATAGGGTACTACCCACTCCCTCAGGAAGATGGCCATTTCATTGGGGAAACAAATAGGCAAGTTAAAAATAAATATGAAATAAAATAACTGACAAATAAACATTATAGTCAGCATGTTGTGGAAATTTGGAGGGGGAAGAGTCATTGTGGATTGATGAAGTGCGTTGGAGAAGCTTTAGAGTGGCGTTTCTCAATCCTGGGCACAGATTAGAATTACCATTGTGCTTTCAAAAAACACTCATGCCCTGGTCCCACCCCCCAGAAATTTTGAATTAATTGGTTTGTGCTGGGTAAGATTCTTGGTCATTTTTAAAGCACACTGGGGATTCTCATGGAGGGTCCGTGCTGGAGAACAATTTTTGGATGAGACTGTAAATTCCTTGAAGTCAGGGACTATCATGGTCATATTTGTTTGGTCACATCTACATCATCTAGAACAGCGCCTTGCGATGGTAGATGCTCGATAGATGTTGGGTTTAGCTGAGACTTGGTCTAGACCACGACAACGGGTGGTGTTATGTTAGGAGGAGAATAAGCATTCTTGCTGTAGGAAAGAGTATGAGCAAATGTGCAGAGTGGGAAATGTTCAGGTTGTTGGGGCAGTGGATCAGTTAGAAGATCGATTTGACTAAGAATACAAAGTTCTAGAGAAGAGCAGCTTATTAAAAGGAAGTACATCGGCACTCAATTGCAGAAAGATTTGAATGTCAGAATTTAAACTTTATTCCATAGCCCAGGCAAACGTGCAGTGGCTTGGAATGCATCAGGACACTAAATCATAGGGGAGCAGAGTAGCAAGTAAATAGTCATTAGCATCTTTAAGAAATTACAGTCACTGACCAGGCCATAGAATTTTCCAGAGTGGCCATTGGCAACTGGTTTACTCAGATCTCAGAGTGGTTTCCGTTAGAGTTCTTAATACCTAAAATAAGGAGATCATCACATATATCTTTTATCTGAAAGATTAGTTATTGTCATGTTAGAGCCCAAAATGATTAATCACTTAGTGATTAACCCATGGCCTCCTGAGGTAGTTGACCACATGGGTCAAACCATGCAACTGATTCCCTCTGTAGCGTTTGGGTATCACATCCAGTTGGCAGCTAACAAACTTGAGAAGAGTAAACAGTGCTTGTGGGGATGGAAACACAGTTTTGGTGAAGGTTCTGTTTTAATAGCAATTTCAGTAAGGCCCTTGTTTTTCAAAGTGTTAGTTTCTGACTTTTCGAGGAGGGAAAACTTATCCGTTTCAATCAGCCCGACTCCACCAGGCCCTCCATCTGCCTTATCTTTATCACCATCATAGGTCCTGGCAGACCAGCAGCAAGAAAAAGGTGGGGGGAAAGTCAGCCAGATGATAAATCCTTGTTGGAAAGTTTAAATGCCCAAGTCATAGTCTAAGGAATATAGCTGACATCTCTTGTAGCACAAATCCTCAAAGGCAGCCTGCGGCCAATGCCATTAATGTGACCCGGCCTGCCCCGAGAGAGACACTCGGGAGAGAAAGGGAAGGGAAGGCTCTGTGAGGAAGTGGTTCTGAAATCTGCAGTCTAGCTAGGGGCATGCCTTAGGAGAGAAAACACCGCAGTGGCCAAGCCCCATCCATCCAGAGCCAACAGGGAGGAGCAGGAGAAGCTGGGGCAGAGGAGCCAGCTCTAGAAGGCAAATGCAGGAGCAAAACTGACACCCAGGCCAGGACTGGCTGATGTGGAGGGTCTGGGGAAGGAGTCTGGAAAGGCAGCAGTGAATACGTGAGACTCAGCACACTGTTTGAGTGCAGTGAAAATGAAGCAAGTTTTCCATTTGCCCCACACTGCTCACCATTCCTCCAATAATGTCATGCAGTAGCTTAATGCATCCTTTGACATCAGACAGCTGTGCAAGACTGTTTACTTCCTCTCCCAGAGGGCTTGCTAGTGGAGGGAGATGCATTCATTTCCATACTGCCAGGCCAAGCACAATCTCTGGCACTTAGTAGGTACTCAGCAAATGCACATTAGGTGAAGGTCAGACTGACAAAAATAAATGGATGATAAGATCTTAGTTTGGAAATAAACTTCTGTTCCAGCTAAGGCCTGGTGTACATTAAACTTTCTGAAAACGAAATAGTTCATGGCTGGCACCCAAATTCTTCCCCTGCTTATTAACTTTTCTGATATGTCTTATTACTAGGTATGTAGGTAGAAATTTGGGAGGGACTAGAAACATCCAATTTGATAAGGAGGGTGGTAGATAAAAGAAAATAATAATGAAGTAGAGGTGAGAAAAGGGGAAGGCATGGGCGGGAGAGATGCATTTTGAACAACTTAAGACTTTATGAGGAAGGTGCGAATTAGGTGCAAAATGGAGAGGCAGAAACTGACAGTAATTGCCTGCTCTGTGCCAGTTTCTATGCCAGGGGTTTTCCCTGCATTATCTCATATATTCCTCACAACAATAGAGCCAGGCATGTAACGTAGCCCATTTAACAAGTGTGGAAACTGGGGGCTCCCAGAGGTGAAGTAAATTACTGGGGTTCACAGAACAGGCAAAGAAGGAAGCCAGGACCCAAACAGAATCTGTCTGACCTCAAAGTCCTCCATGCTGTCACTGGGCATGACTGCGGGACAGGCACTTTTGTTACTGGGAGGGCAGAACGACTGAACGTATTTCCTGTTTTATACTTTACCACTAGGAAAGAAAGTTCCATGAGATGTGGGACATGGTGCTTGCAGATGTACACAAGCAAGCTCCTAGACAACCACTTACCTGAATATTTTATCAGAAGGCTGTTCTCCCAAAACCAGGTCAAAGCCTCGCTGAAATATTGTGTAAGGCCAAGGCCTAAAAGGAGAAACATCATTCAATTAAAGTCAACTCAACAAACACTCTCTGAACATCCACTTCGTGCCAGGCACTATGCTAGGTTCTGGAGACCCAAAGACAAAGAGGACCTCGTCCTTGTCCTCAAAAATCCTACTAACGTGGACTCACACAAGACCTTGAATGCTGGAACCCAACCAACAACAGGATCAATGGAAAAGCCACTGCCCCACGAGGAAAGTGGAATCTAATAGACATGACAGTTGGAACTACATATAGAGTAAAATTATATTAATGTAGACCTCGCACAGCCATAATTCATGGTCCTTAAGATGTAAATTTAACATAAACTTAGCTTTGCCTCACTTAAGAAAGAGGGGCAGCATGATTTCTTGGGAAAGATGAGGCCTCTGGAATCAGACAGCTCTGAGTTCAAACCCTGGTCTTCTGTTAAACCCCATCTGACTTTGGGCAGATTATTGGTCTTGTTGGGCTTAATTTTATCACTTGTAAAAATAGGGTTACTAATGGCTGCCTCACAGACAACTGTGAAGATTAAGCCTAACTTTTAGTCCAAGGCCACAGCTCATACAGGGACCTTAGCATGTTCCCGTTCCCTACTCAAAATGACATGAATATTCTGGGTCTTTGACAGGTTCTAGATGGTTTCAAACATTTTAATGTCACTATTTCAAACAGAAACAACTGAAATGGTATTTTTAAAGGATCTTTAATTACAAGTCTCTCTAGCGAGCATCTAGCTGTTGTCCCATACACTTGAAGTAACAAAGCTATTTCCTTTAAATAGTAGGTATCTTTTCACTAACCCAGATGTCCAACTCTTAAATTATTTACCTATTCAAGCAAGATTTAGTAAATTCTGGACTTCTGTTGGGTACTAGATATTGTGCATGCTTGACGAATTGAGCCCTTGTTCTCATGGAACGTATAGTCTCCATGTATAACCCAGTTATAGCAATGCAATAACTCAAGTTTTGAGGACTTTACTGTAGACATGCCTTTGGTTTTCAAGGACTACAAAGAGACAGGAGAATGAATCGACATAAGTACTTGGGACTAAACCTAATACCAAGAATTAACCCAATGGTTGTCAATGAGAGTGGTATCACCCAATGGAGAGCATTTGGGGAAATGAATGACAGTTGCTCTTGAATGACACAATATTGGAGGATTTTACCAGCGTTTAGAAGGTAGAGGAAGAAAGACCAGAATAGTGTAGTGCTCAGGACAGCTCTGCACTACAAAAAATTGCCCCACATCCTGCAAAATTTTGAATGTCTTATTGCACATTTATGTAGGTGAAAACCTCTGTACAATTATCTGAGACTAGATGCTAACTCCATTTACACATAAGCACCAAGCAGCTTTCAGTATTTTAATATATGATGAATTTTCTAACTGCCTAACTACCATGTAAATTAAGGGAAGACTATACATTATTACTTAAAAATTTTACCAAGATTTGTTTATAATTTTGGAAGATCATATCATTGTCTGCAATGCTGTCCATGGCCTTTGAATCGTCAATATAGCCCGTCTGTATCAGTCTATGTTGGTCCTACATGTATCGTATATTACATGTTACTTTCCACATTACATTATGGTGAATCTACATTAGTTGCAAAAGTCTGTCAACTTCATATTTCTCCTATTGTAATATAGCAGAGTATTTCTTCATTAAAATAGTTATAATATCATTGTAAATTACTTTCTTATTTTTTCTCTTTTAATTACTCATAAGGCATTATATTTATTTTTGAAATTTTGTGTATAGAGATGTTATTATTTATGAATTTCATTTCAGCATTATAAAAGGGGTTAACAACATTTGTCATAAAATAGAGTTTTGGCTCTTAACCCAACCAGCTAAGTGATTAACTAACTAGTTGCAAGGGGATGCCATTGGGACTACATAAGGGAGTGGCTGGGATGAATGCGTTCATTTTTTATGCTTATTATTTATAACCACTTATTCCTAGAATTCAACTCAGAAATACCCTGAGGCAACTGGAATTGGATCCCCAAAGTACCCAAACACTGTGCTATGAATGACCCCTGCATCAAATGAACAGCTCTCCCCACGTGGTCTCCAGGTTTGTTCTCTTCATTGGAGGTGAACCCACACAGTGGGGCTGGAATCTGATTCTTTTTTGCTGAACAGTAAGTGGTGGCTTATAGGCAGCTAAAAAATATGTATTAATTCAAGAAAAAGTTTAGAAATTATGGGAAAAAATGTCCCATCTGATCTTAGACACCTAGAAAGGGCAATAAAAAGAGAAGAGGGATGTGCAACTTTATTTGTCTCTTGGGAAAATCACATTTTATTTACTCTCAGTTTAATAATTTTAAATAACACATTCTGCCTTCGAGTCATCTCTAGTACTCAAAACTGGTACAATGTGTAATTAGAGTTAATTCTTGGCATGGTTCCTAGGTTGTTTGAGAATATATTTTGAGGAGCCAAATTTTAGGACGAGCGTTGATTACAGCGTGAACAATTAACTGCATGGAATAACATAAATAAACCTGCATTCGAGCCATAGGTAATGAATCAGTGAGCCTGGGAACATTGATTAAGCACGCGTCAGCATGTTGTTGGGTAGGTCAGGTCAAAGAGACTTCCCGTTCTTGTAGGCCTGAACAATAAGGGAGGCAACTCAGATTAGAGGGGCACAGACGTGCAGCCCAGACTCCCTGCCATCACATTGGGAAGCAGCAAGGCCCAGTGGTAGGGTGTGGGTTCTGGAACCAGCCTTCCTGTTTAGAATTCCAGCTTAGTTATCAATCGCTGTGGGACCTTGAGCAAGTCTTTAATCAGGCTATGTCTCCCCTTCCTCATCTGTAAAATGAGGCTGACCGTAATAATTGTATCTACCTGGCAAGGTTGTTATAAGGAAGAACTAGTTAACATAGTTAAAGTGTTCAGAATAGTGTCTGGTATTTAGTGAGTGTCATATAAGCAATCGTTAAATAAGTTAAATTTACTGGTTACCTGAATCAAATTTAAATACTACAATAAGGAGAATCTCAAATTTGAGGAAGAGATGTCTTGCCTGAAGGTGCAAATACAAAATTAACACCAGGCTTAAACTCAGATAGTACATGTATGTGTATTGGCCGAGGAGGAGGCAAAGATGATTTGGGAAGACCACCACACCTAGCCCCACCTCCCACCCAGCAATCACTTGACAGGGCAGTGACCATACCGTATTGACATTAAATACAGAAAGGGGAAGAGCATATTGTGAAACGGCAAGAGAATTGAGAGTTGCAAATTGCTCCAGCAAAGGAATAAAGCAGAATTTGCTTATCTTCTTCCCACTAGTCAGGGAAGATCTGTCAGAGATGGGAATTCTTATTTGATTTATTTAGCAAATATTTATGGAGGGCCTATTGTGTGTGAATGGTGATACTAGGCAACAGAGCTGGGATAAATAGATTCTTTTGTTTTTTTTTTTAAAGATTTTATTTTTTTCCTTTTTCTCCCCCAAACCCCCCAGTACATAGTTGTATATTCTTCGTTGTCGGTCCTTCTAGTTGTGGCATGTGGGACACTGCCTCAGCGTGGTTTGATGAGCGGTGCCATGTCCGCGCCCAGGATTTGAACCAATGAAACTCTGGGCCGCCTGCAGCGGAGCACATGAACTTAACCACTTGGCCACGGGGCCAGCCCCTGGGATAAATAGATTCATGCCCTCAAAGGAACCTCCATTCTTTCTGAAGAAGCACATATATGTCTAGACAAACAGCAGAGAATGAGTGAAAGGGAAGTGGAGTTATAGGAGATAAGCTAAATGGCAGTGTTAGCTCACTTGTCCTGGGTGCTGGGAAGGCTGTGTGTTGGCAGCACTTGGAGCAATAGTCAGACGAGCTTGGTGCATGTGAGTAGAGAGGCTATAGGGCCATACAGGAAAAATCAGGGGTGAGTGATGGAGAGCTGGACCTAAAAGCATCAAAAACACTTTGGAGCTGAGTGACCTGAGACAGACTGAGTGAGCAAAGGCCTCTGTATCGGGCGCTCTGGGGTGTAAGGCCAAGTAAGAAAACTGAACTGCCCTCACCAAAAAGAGGCCCATCACTGAGTCATATGTCCAGGCTCAGATGGAAGTTGCCTAGGGGAAGCCTGTGTGGGGGATCAGAATTTGCCACCCCAAAATGTGTCCCTTTGGTTTAATTATTTTTAAGACCAAAGGACTCAGAAAGAAACTTTGAGCTTCCCCCTAACTGCCTAAAAGAATTTAAGATAGAAGGCCTGCTTCAGGAAGGAGCTATCACCATAAATAACTATAGTATAATGTGAACTTAAGTGTGGTAGACAAGGAGGAACCTAGCCAGGCCCATCTAATCAAAGTCCTCCCCACATGCCATTGTTTTTGCAAGGCAAACATTTGTTTATCAAACATTTGCTTTTCCATCTCCATGTGAATTGCCTGCCTCCTCTTTGAAGTCCCCAACCACTATGCCCAACATCCTCCTTTGTCTTTAGCTGAAGATGGTATTTAAGGTGGTGGCTGCAGCCGTTTTGGTGAGTTACTCAGTATTCCTGGGTTTCTCCCGTATATACATGTCATTAAATTTTGTTTGATTTTTTCCTGTTATTCTGTCTCATGTCAATTTAATTTTTAGACCAGCCAGAAGAATCTAGAGAGTAGAGGAATATTCTTCCTCCCCGACTCCTGAAAACAGGATCTATGGGCCTTTATAATTGTTCCTCTCCTCTCTTTGCTCTGTTTCTCACTCTATAGACTTGATTCTCTCAAAATGGCTGAAGTACGTGGTGGAGACGTGGCCTCCAGCAGCTCCAGCTCACATCTTTACAGGCTCAGACCACAAAGGAGACATTCCCTCTTCTTATTAGGAAAAAATAATCCATGGAAGAACAGCTTGACATATCCTGGGTGAGATGAGCAACCTGGACCACTCTCTGGCGCCAGAGAAGTAGAAGCATCTAAGCAGAGGACAACTCTCATTTGGTTTTCAGGGCTAGAGCTGGGAGGAGG